GATGTGGGAGTTATACTATATTTCCGCCTACACTAGAGGGGGTATATTGTGTATTTTGTTTGTAGTGGCAGTAATTTGAAATACCAATACAGAACATTTTCACAAAATGTAAAAAAAATATATTTTTGAAACCGAATTCCCTTATATAGATGCATGAAGCATGTTTAAAAGAGAACGATAAGAATTGCAACAAGTAAACTCGACTTATCTAAATTAGAACAATGTGTAATTTTTGAGCAATTCGGGCTTTGAGATAATAAACCATGTATTTATTAAGAAGATCGAAATTCGATCTTGAAAAGTCGACTTTGCGATTTTTTCAAAGATCAAAAGTTAACTTCGACTTTTAGACTTCTCAATACAAAAAGCCGATTATTCGAAAATCGATTTACTTATCCCTAATCAAGGTGGAGACCATATGCTTTATAGGGGATGAAATGGATCGAAACATTTATTTTTGTCAGGTTTACTTGTCTGTCTAAATTACATGACAATCACAAACTTGACACGTAGAAGGGGATCTGGTCTACTATTAGCATTGGCTGTTTCGATCGGTCAATATTAAGGGGTTTAAATGAGCCAAGACATTTGTGTGTAAAATAAGAATATTTGAATTTTACGATTTAAATGTTCAGGAGGAGCAGTTGATATCTAATCTGTCAAAAAGGTGCAAATATCGCCAAATATTGTGCAGACTCGGAATATAGATCCGTAGAAAGTTTGAGTTCCGTGGTTGTTGCGTACGGCATCATATGGTCGGCCCTGTCCGACTACACTGCTCTGCTTACAGTTCTTTTTATTATTTTATTTAATATATGAAAGACTAATCGAATACTTTTCGTAGACATAACCTTTGCCTTGAATATTCGAAGAAGAAAAAGAAACAATTCCATAACAAAAAGAAATGTCGGGGTAATAGACAAAATGTAAAATAAATATATACAAATTAAATATTTATTATTATTTATTTTTTTATTTAATTGTGTTTATTGAATCGGACTGGAATTGCTTTCGTCATGGAAGAAGAAAGAATTCTTTGAACCAAACAAATATTTAAATGTTTTTTGATTTGCACTGTGCGATTGAACAGGAAACTGTAAAAAACAAATCGGAACGTATTTAGAAATGGAAAGGAAATTATTGTTGCTGAAAATGAAATTATAAAATAAGAAATGACAATTTTAATTTTAATGGGTTTTCTAAACTAGGTTACATATTAAATACTGTGTGAATTAGGAGTTACATATATTTACACCAATAATGTTTAGATAAGAGTCACATAATTTCTTTATTGTATTACTATTTTTCACATTAGGAAATCAATTTTTCAGATGTCAGCATTTATCTTAGAAAAAAAATATTTTGCTCTAATCTGCAATTCCGCCAAGAAAATTCGGTTGTGGGCTAACAATTTACGCCTAATATATAATTTAATTGTGCTAATTATCGCAGGTCATCGCAAGCTCCCACGTGTAAACCTATTTATACTTTTTTACAGAATAGATGTTGTGTGTTAAATTTCTAAAACCACCATATTTCTGGGATATCATTCAGATACACTTAACAATAAGCTATCATTTAATTTTTTTAACATGTTTATGATGAAATGGCTTTTAATGATGTTACTTGTTATTGGGTGGGAAATTAACATCCCCTTTGTAGTATTTAAAGGTGAGACAATTGAGTACGTCTGCGGAAAGACTTTTTTATTTCAGTTTTTTTTTTTTTTATTTACATTAACCTTCATTTCAGTGTTTGCGGCAAAAGTGTTCTTTTTTACAAATTTTTTAAGTGCCAAATTCATATAAAGAAGTACTCATAATATATAATGTCGATTATTCTATTCCGAGCTTATTCACTCTTACAACAAATTGACGTAAGAATTTGATTGACGTACAATTTTTGTGCCGATTCTATTATGGTTAATCGCTTGTTCATGAAGTAAATATTTTATTCAGACACAAATTGGCAATTGTTATCCGATATAAGCGTTTTTTTCTGTATTTTGAATTCAAAAATTGTTTTTCAAATTATTCTATACTTTGGCATGGGGCTAATCAAAATGATTTTTGTATTAAATGTCATTGACATACATACTAAATCAGGGTTTCGGAATATTTTAGCAATGTCTTTGGTCGTAGAATGGAATTTCTTTTTTTTATTATAGAGACTCTTTGGGAGGACCACCATCTTTCAATGAACTGGAACATAAATCCTTTGATAGAATTTTGCTGCTCCCACCAAAATTAGATACCCAGTTAAAAAAAAAACTTAGCCTACCTGACAAATCTGTGGGGAGTGTACAATTCCCATTGGGGATGAAAGCCCTTAGCGAATATATAAAGAACCCAGGGGGACAAAATCACCATATGTCAATTTTTGGGTTTTTGACATTTTATTCTTGCAATACGCGAATTGCATGCTTTTAAATATTGACAATTTGTATGTATTGTAACATTTTTACAGTCGAAACTGTTATCAGATGAATATACCTATATTTAACAATCATCTAAAAGAAATTGAAGAAAAAAACGTCGCATTTTTTAGAAGATTAAGGCAAAACCGTATCCCCTTAACCATACTAAAAAAATCGAAAATTCAAAAAACATTTCGATTTAGTTAAAAAATTAATTTATTTTCTTTTCAGATATCTTCATGCTTCTATTTGTTTTTCGCGACAATTTAACCGTAATTCAATGTGATTTGACAAGTATGCTATGAAAACAAATGTGTATAACCACGTGTGAAGAAATTCGCGAATTACAACAAATAGGAATTAATTTAATTTATATTTGAAATACAAGATTTAAAATCGCTATAACTTTTGTGCGCAGCATCCGAATTTGTGAACGCGAACATATTTCGAATCAGCATATTTTTCTTAACCTATGTACCAAAAATCATAAATGTGCTCGCAAAAAATTTTTTCAAATTTTTTTTTATGGAATTTTAAAAGAATTTTGTAATTTCTCATATACCCTCAGTCTATGGTTTGCGGAGGTCTTCGGAATTATTATTAGCTTTATATGGGATATACAATTAAGGGACCCCCCCCCCCCATTCTCGATTTTAATTTTTCAAGATTTTCAATGGGCTGGTAAATCAATACCAATGCTTATAAAGGTTTGTAACTTTGCACATATATAATTGAAGATTTAAAAGAGAAGAAAAATAATTTACAAAAAAGTTTGTAATTGTTTTGTTGTTGTTTTTTGTAATTAAAGAAAAGTCCTTATTTTTGATGGCGGGCATGATAACTCCTCACTGGAACATCGGAATCCGAAAATTCCAACGGTGTTAGAAAGAGTACATGTCTGGCTCTCGTATGAACTAGGATTATTGACTTCGCTCTAAAATTAACAAAATGGTGGACCGTTGAAAAAATATTTTTGGAAAATCGCCGATTTTTTTGCCAAAATCCAAGTTAAAAAATAAGGAAGATCTTCACCGATTGGCTTTATCCTAGTTCATACGAGAGCTATACACTCTCAGAGAAACGTTGCAAAATTTGGAACCGATTGGGTCATTAGTTTTTGAGTTATCGTGCCCGTCATTCACAAAAAAATGTTTAGAGAAAAACGCGTTTAAAGTTTGAGAAACCCTTCAGCCGTCACTTGATGCTGACACAATAAATCGGCTATATCTTCAAGAGTCTTTAATCAGTGTAGATTCGAATTATATCAACAAAAATTTTGACCACGAGAATGGGGGGGGGTCCCCTTAAGAGGTTTCAGGTTTAATATTGATCAAATCGGTTATTCAATTCGCTTCAAAGAGAGGTACCGGAAGTGGTGGACCAATGGGTCCCATTCTCGGACTTAATCTAGGGGTCGTAAAGATAATAGGTAATGTAAAGTTTGGTTCAAATCGGACATTTCAATACTTATAAATCCAATGTTAGGCTTATATATTGAATTTATAAATATTGAAAATGTTGACCATTTATGGGGGAGATACAGAAAGAGTGAACCAATGGGTCCCATCTTCGGACTTGATCTAGGCTTAGTAAAAATAATAGGCTGTACAAAGTTTGGTTTAAATCGGATGGTCCCTTCGCATGATTTTATAAAAAAAATTGTAAAACCTTAAAATATTCGCTGAATATCCCTAAATAAATTTTTATGTCGATTTGGTCACGGTACCCTTAATATTTGGTATTTTTGACACGTAAATCAAGCCAATTCGCTGTAAATTTCTATTTTGTAATCATATTGAGCAGAAAATCACTCTACCAAAAATTATGAATATTTGCCCACATTTTGCGGTAGCCCCCATAGAACGGTACTTGGGATTCTCTAAGTCCTAACTCGGCGACCTTTTTTCTTGAGACTTAAATTTGAAGACACATTTAAATTAGATCAGACTTTTGGAAGAAACATCCACCGTTTACTTCCAGATTGCAAAATTGATAGTGAGCTGAGGGCCTAGGTAGTCTTTATAGATGAAATAAAGAATTGTGAAGGTAGTAACGACAGATGAGAGTGCGTTTAAGTGAATACTGATATATGAGACCAGCTGAAGGAATTTTCTATAGACGAGCTGAATATGGTTCTCATAGAAGTTTATATATTTGCCAGTAGGTAGCTCCGGCACAACGAACTAATTATATTGGAATAAAATTTTATGAATATATTGAAATAAAATACATGAATGAAAATCGAATTTTTATTTTCCAACAAATCCAAACTTTTATCCGCAATGTACGTTCTACATTCAACCTGTTGATCTAACTGATCGTAAACTATTCAAAGCTTTACTTTTTTATTCATTCTTCTACAACTACTACGCCCCATAAATCGAACATCAAATTGCATTTTACAAAAACCACAACAAAAAATGTCTGAGTGTCAAGTTAATGTTATTTATTTATTGTAATTTTACTATTATTTCTTTTCCTATTTATGATATAATTCTATTCGCTCTCTTTATGTAATATTTATTGAATGGAAAGTGGAAATGTATGCATTACTTTATTTTTTATTTATTTTTGTTTTGCTTTCTTTCCATTTTCAGTGTTGACCAATATTGGCGCTGATCAATATTCGCTGGCGTGATTGTGATAAATGAAAATGAATCAATATGATAACATGACTGATTGTGGTCAGACAACAACAACAACTACAACATGTTACAGACGTAATAAAAATTGTGATGATGATCAGAAGGTAAGAAGTTAAAACAACAACAGTATTAAATTTTAAGGAAGATTTTTATAAAAATAAAGAAAATATATACTTTATGGTCCAGGAAATTAGCAATAAAATACTTTTGAAAAAAAAAAAAAAAATGGTATTGATAATAATTAAACTAACTAAATGATCCTTAATTTCATAAAGTACGAGGGCTACTATATATATTTCTGGTCTTATAATGAAAATGCGAATATTTATCATCAAAAATGGTTATATTGATTTTCAAATTAGTCTCAAGGGTGATTTATACATTTGTCCATGCATTTTTTTTTTTGATGTGTGGTAAAAAATGAGAAGTCATTGGGCGCCAAGCCAAGGTGTACGCGGATGACCAACAAATTCCACGTTTTGACGGCACAAAAAGGCGACTGTTTGTACCGATGTGGGAGGTTATTTCAGAAAATTGTGAAACTATCGCCACATGGCCTGTTTTACCGAAGAAACCGTTGCCAAGGGGAACCCCATTCTCTATTTCTAATTGTATATTTTGGAATCTTATTGGAATCCCTACCAAAAATTATGAATATTTGCTCACGTTTTGGGGTAACCCTTCAGAACGCACTTGGGATTCTCAAGATTCTAACTCAGCGACGTTTTTATTTGGGACTTATAATCTCATCGCACTTAATCCAAGCGTTAAAGAAATTTTAAAATAAATTTAAATTAGATCAGTCATCGTTTAAGGACCAGGAAGTATTTACAGAAGAATTGATTTTCAAGCGGCTGGTAAATGATCGTGCATTATATTGAAGACTTGTAAAAAACAAAAACAAAATTCTATTTGTCGAAGCGAATGGGGGAGGGGGTTTGATCCCCTTAAGTTCCTCTTCGAAGACCACGCAGTCGATGACTGTTTTGTTTCAATTTCATGTCAGTGTTCCCTCGAACGAACATTGACATGAAATTGAACGAACTTAAATATGATATCTTTATCTATAAGTGAACCGACTAACATCAATCCATACACATGCCTTTCTGCAACTAATGCTGAATTTCGTTTCATTCGGGCGGATTTAGATCCGTTTGCGTACAATGAGTCTAATCGATTTCAAAATTTAACATTAGGAGTTTAGTGCACCATTTACCTAAAATCGGACGGAAATATATATGTGGGAGCTACATCTACATCTGAACCGATTTCAACGACACTTGCAAGAGATTAATTTATATTAACTTCAGTACATTTTACAAAGTTTTGTGTTAATCGGACTAACTTTCTGTCTTTAGCTCACAATTTACATAAAATCAAAAAGCAGTATCAAGTATGATTTTTGCACATTTCATCTTATCGCTCACATTCACAGCTCTATAGTGACCTTCGTACACAATATCACGATCCTAGCTTTAACCGTTTCAATTCGTCTGGGATCTATCAGTTATATTTTAAGACTTGCCCTTGGCATTGGAAAATCAAAGCCAAACTCAAACTATTTTTTAAATTCATTCTTTGCATTTCAAACCAGAAAACGCGTTGAAAAGTTTCTTTTCACTACATACGAGTATTGTTCATCGTAGATTATTTATTCGCAATTCTCTAAATCTAATTCCAAATCTACATGTTTTTTTTGCTGGTCAGCAAATTTTTTTCAATATGTATTTTTCGGCCAGTACAAAGTTCAATGATCGGTAGTGTCGAATTAGGTGAAACAAACTACTTTCATTATCAGCGATATGAGTTGCTGCTATTGCTGTTGTTGTTATTGTTCTTACTTAATGCCATTTTATTGGCACACAATTTGAAAAAATAAAACATAGTCTATATCTGATAATCTTATTGGCGATTTTATTAGTGAATGCTATGTGTATGGAAAATTTTGTTTGTGTGTTTGTGAATTTCGTTTTTTGGGTTTGTAAGCTGAACTTTAACAAGTCTGGAGATTCCAGTTTTGTTGAGAATTCTTAAAATAAATACACATTAAATTTAAATCAAAATAATCAGTCTAATTATATTAAATTTGAAACGCGGATGTATTAGATTGTGTCAAGTGTCTATATTTTAACCCTTAATAAAAATTGGTACTAAAAATAAAAAGGGAAAGTAGGTTGGAAAAAATGAATGTTAAATAAATACTTACGCTGACAATGAACCGCTATTGAAATGAACTCCAACTAGTAATGTTGGAATGTATGACTAGAACTTCCAATGAAAAGAAGAAAGGCCGGGCCGAACTTTTTACACCTCACACCACCTTAGTTGTACTTTCAAAATATCTAAAATCTGTCAGAACTTGTACATGGTTACTATTCTATGGTAAATTGTTGTCAGGAGGGAACGAAATATCAAACTCAGACTCTCAGGTTGGAAAATTCGGCCAGGATCTTGGACATGTCGAAATCCTCATAATAATAAAAATTGTTATATGGGATCTACACCGAAACGAGGACAGATAAAAAGAAATTTTTCTTAAGAATGAGAAATTTGAACTGGAAAAAATATTGAAAATCTTCAAAATGCCGAATAATGGGTGGTACGGTTATATGGGGGCTACCGCGAAAATTTGGCCACATTAATTTTGTTCGGTAAGGAGATTTTTAATAATACCCAATTATAAACTTAAATATAAAATTGCAGTCATTTTGGTTGAAAAGCGTGCCAAATTCCCCTTGCCGAAATTTCGGAAGTCCCTTATATGCCTTAAAGCCTAAGAGCTGGATCATTGATCATTTTTTGGTTGGAACATTTTCTACACAATTGGAACCCAAAAAATCGATTAACAGCCATTTTGTTTAAAAAAAATTCGCAAAATACCGAATATTTGGGAAAGCGTTATATGGGTGATATAGCAAAATATAGATCGATTAATCCCATTTTCAATACGGAAAATCCTATGTGTAGTGGGAATTTATATTCAACATTTCAAATCTCTGTCTTAAATATTGTGAGATATATCGCGATTTCAAAAGGGGAGGATGGGGAATATTATAGGGGATATACATTTAATTGGGAGGACTAAACACACAGTTGGGAATGATGCGTTTAGCGTAGTTTTATTTTCTCTCGAGATATGAATTCTTGTACTATATACTTTATTCGAGAAGTTTGGAAGGTGATCCGCTTTAAATATACAACCGAAGTCATTTATAACAACACCGTTTTAACGACGGTATCCAAAAATATATTCTGTCCTTTATTTTATATGGCTTATATCGTTCAATTTCGATAGTCCATTGACAATCGTTGACTTTTCGCCTGATTTTGTTGTCATTTAAGGGTTAAGTATTTTTTATTATCACGTGTCTGGGGAAAAAGTTATCAACCTCTTATTTTTTGTATAAAAGTCTATGTAAAAAATATTTTGCAAATTGTATTGATTATAATTTGATTAACAAAAACCAAAAAAAAAATGCCTATTCATGTGCTAAGGTTAGACTCTTCCTTTTGTTTTTTTTGCGAAGTGAATTGAAATATTCGTTATTTGTACTGTATATCAATAGAATTTGTCTAGAATCCAACAATTAACCACTCCACTTATGTTAGGGTGCGTCACGGTAGAGGGGTGTGAGTTGGGGGGTATTAATTTGATAATCGCCACTTGTTGTTTTATTAGACGTAACAATGCCGCATTATTTATGCAGGGAAACGTGTGTGTGTTTTTTTTGGTTTTTAATTTTAGTTGTCGCCATGTATTTAAATAGTTTAATTTTTATAAATGTTTTTTAAATATGTATGTATGTACATATATCGTTATGTAGATATATGGTGGGATAGAAAAATTTACTACGAGAAAGTGCTGTGTGATTTTTTGAAGAGTTGGTTCTTTAGCACTTTTGCTTTGGTTCTTATCAACTACATTAAAAGTGCTCTAATTTGTGTTAGGGTTATGCATTTATATGTTGTTGTTGGTTTTTGTATAACCTACACCAAATAGATACATACATTTAGTTAATCATTTCGTTTGTAACTTCGTAAGGTAATAATTTCGGATCACGTAAAATATGCACTAATTATTTGTCAATATAAAACTCTAAATATATTTAATAATATTTAAGATCTGCTTTGCTTCTCCTACGTACCCTTCAATAGTCACTTTAATTTATGAATAGATCTGAACCGTCGCGGGCTGTGTCCGACATCTCTTCAGTAATTCAACGCGTTTTTTAGCTCGATATTTTTCACAACTTGCAAGTTGGACAATCACGACATGAGTGCATCAAAGGATACTCTCGAAAGTCAATATGAAATGCTGGTTAAATGGTCATTGTGCGATCATGATGTGACATACCAGGCTATGAAGACATTTTTGGATATTTATTCTAACAGCCGTAAAGGTTTGTTCTCGTCGGAAGCCGCAAAATAACAAATGGTTCTATGAATTTTGAAAAAAATACTATGGCGGATTTTTAAATGTTACGAATCATCTTCGAAGCAAATAGTAGCCTGTTTTGACAAAACTCTTAATGTGCGGCTGTTTCGTTGGGGCAAAGTAGGACGGTCGATTCTAGGTAATACACCACAATTTGGCTGTCTATCATGAAATTGATTGGTCATCCTCCGCACAGCCTTTACATGGCACCCAATTACTTGTTTATATTCCCGCATATTAAGTTTACGATAATAGAAAGGACTATTCACCATGAAGTTGGGCGCCAAAATATCTAAATTTGTAAAACTTTTTAATATATTTGTCATGAGGTTTCTTCACCTTTGGGTATTCGAAATATCAAATTACAGACTCAAACCAAAAACAAGTGAAAAAAGCGTTAAATTCGGCCGGGGCGTTCTTTAGATACCCACCACCATAGGTTACTGACAGTTACTTGAAATGAATATATAGGGAACATACAAAAAAGTGGACCTATACCGACAATTCTACAAATCGATTGTTGCAAACCATAATGTACACAAAACGTGGGTGCCACACGCTACTACATTGTGTAGGAATTAGCGAATATTTGGGGTTTTTATTATATGAGGGGCTATGCCTAATCAAGGACTCATATAGCTCAATTGTGAACCTTATATTTTAGTTTTG